CATGTCATCCTTTACATCTTAACCCCCACCTCACTTCCTCTGAGAAGTCGGCTCCCCATCGACCAAGACTAGTGCAGGTGTCCCTTGGATGTGATTGCATAGCACTTACTAGGTTACCAAAACATTCACCTCAACCTGGCACTCAAAACATTAGTGTGTCCACAGTGGTTGCTACGTGCTAGGCATAGACCATGTCATATAGTCATTAGCAAAGTTGCATGAGGTAGGCCTTGTTTGTACCCATTTTTACAGACATGGAAACTGAGGCTTAGAAAAGTTAACTTGCTCAGGGTCACATTACTAGGAAGCATGAGGGCGGAAATTCAAAATCAGTCTAACTCCAGAGCTCACACTTTGAATTACTGTGCCATTCTGCCTCCCAAATATTTGTGAAAAACATATTGTTTGATATTTTTTGATAAACTTGAACAAAGCAGATTCACCGACAACTTAACCTTTTCTGGCCCCAGCTTCTGGTTTTTTTAAGCTATTTGGGCCAGAATCAGAAAGCAAGAAGTTCTATGCCAGAATGATTCAAAATAGGATTCATTGATGGACTAAATTCTTGCACACGATACAAAAATAAAAGTTACAAAAGGGGAAACAATGAAAAGCAAGATTCCCCCTACTCAGAGCCACCTAGTTCCCCTTTTCCAGAGATAACTACTGAGATCTATTATCCTCATGAGAGGTAGCCCTAGAGATGTATTTTGTAAACTATGATCCCAGCCTACTAATGGATCGATTTTGAGGGTCCTGACCAGCATTTGTTTTTTAATGTCATTAAAAAAAAAAAAAAAAGATTTGAAAGGATCATGTTTCACACAGCTTGTGTTTCAGTTTGACGTGTAACACAAATGTACATCTGAGTCACAGAGTGTAAAATGTGACGTTACACTTCTCACCACGGAGTAATATTCAAAGCTGTTGGAAGGCCACCGACCGGGCAGACCCAGAAGTTGGACATTATGAAGGCCGCTTCCACAGAGAACCTCCCACCCTTACTTCCCATGAGTCACTCTGGAACTCAGCAGCCGGACCCTGTAAAGCAGAAGTCAGATCCCCTCCCTCCTCTGTTCAAACTCTTCCAGGGACCCCCATCTCACTGAGAGCAAAAGCCATGAGACAACATATATTTCTGTTTGTTTGTTAATATCCTAAAACAATTCCCAAATCAAATAAAACATATGGGCTCCATGATGTAAAGAAACATGACCTGTTGTGGGGAGAGGGTCCCTGAGAAGGGGCTTCAACAGAGACGAGCAGCATCCTTCAGCTGAAAACAAGAATGGATATCTTAAAATACCATTTATATGACATTCATCAAATTCCCTTTAGAGAATCCTGGGGGTACCTTAAGGAGGTAGAACGCTCTCCAGAAGAGCTGGCCCATGGACAGAGAGACTCCCAAAGAGGCGTGGGCTGCCTCCATGAGAAGATGCCGAGGACAAAGAAACATGCAGGAGTCCAACCAGAAGCCCCCAAACTACAGGTCCGGAGCAAAAGTGGCTGCTTCTCACGTGGGCAGTTTCTCTAGCTTTGGTCCAAGGTGAGCAGCAGCAGGGATGTACAGTGTTCAGTGTGGGATGGCCAGTCACAATAATAAAATAATGAGGCCAATTCTCCCTGTCTCAGAAACAGAAGCAACACTCAGCAGGAGAGGAAAGGATGGTGCCACATCCCCTCCTTCCTTTTCTCTCTCCATCTCTCTTCACTCTCCCGTGGAGCTGTGTGTCCCTAAATGTGGTAGCTTTGTCCTCATTGGTCCATATGGGTGCCTTAACCGGAATACCCCATGGTGTCCCCATGAGAGCGGGGGTAACCCAACTCTGCGTTGGCAGTTCCTGGAAATCAGCGTATAACATCCTAGCATATTTGGACTTGTCTGTTTATTAGACACGTAAGCTCATGCGAACAAGGCTCTTGTCTGTCATGTTCTCTGTCAGATTCTCAATGCCAAGGACAACGTCTGACACTAAGTAGGCACGCAGTGAATGTATCTCAAATGGATGAAAAAATGTTAGACCACAGAGTGGAAGCTGTGGTGGCCAGTAGGTACTCCAAGCATAACCAGTCATCAGGCAGATTCTGCAAGATGGGTTTGCACCCCCTGCCTCCGGAAGGCAGCCCTGCGTGTGCCCTCTGGGGCGACTTGCCAGTCTGCTATGCGTTTCGTATAACTGTGCCTTTGTGATCTAGGTGAAAAGAGATGGCAGGCGGAAGGAAATACACAAGCAAGAGCACTGAGGCTCGTGAGGGCACAGGGCACAGCAGTTACCAGCAGTGACCAAGTCACAACCTAAGAGGTCAGGTGCCTGGGAGGGCATGGCTGGAGGCCAGGCTGGACAGGTAAGGTTAGTTGTGAAGGTGAGCAGCGTTAAGAAGTTTGTAGTTTATTCTGTAGGCAACTGGAGAATTCCTTGGCAGTTTGGAAGCAAAGAAATGACATGATCAGGTAATTCTGAAAACAACATGAAAAAAGGATCAGAGAAGAGGAGGTTCTATAACTAGGGAGGCCATTTATGAGGCTATGACACATGTTCAGGTTCAGAGATAACTGGGGCCAAGACATGTGGCTGTGGAGATGGAGAGGAAGCCCTGGGGGACAATTCGGGGAGGCGACCAGTTGGAAATATGGTTTGGGATGTTAGATATCAAGGTTAGGTATTCAGACATGGGAGTCATTTGGGTCCTGTTGAAGTCATGGAAGAAATTAAAAACACCTAATTTGAAAAAAAAACCCACCGGATTTGAGTAGTGGATCGTTTAGAAAATCTGATGAAAACAGGTGTTTTTAGTTTCAGAGGCTTCGCAGATACTCACCAAAAAGCCAAGTAAAAGGTCTGGGGATATCAGTTAAGAGTCCCTGGTTGAAAGAAGAAAGAATAACAGAGAAAGGGTCCCAAGGAATGACCTTACCCAAAGGGTGAGCAGAAGACAACAGTGGTCCCCAACCTTTCTCAACTGTTACAGAGACATTGACTACTGCCTATCAAAGAGTTTGGAGAAGCAGAAAAGAGGATAAGAGAACAAGAGAAAAGAAGGAGCACTTTGTTCCTGAGGTCAGAGGTGTCTCAGCACCATGGAGACTAACCACATGGCAGAAGATGAAGAAAGAGATGGAGCTAACTTCTAATTTTTTAGGTGTTTGGAAAAGACAAGTTGCTCAAGTAGGAACAGCCAGAAAGCCTCTTCAAAGAGCTCAGCTGGGCCCAGAAACCCAATCAGGTGCAAGTGGAATGCAGAGCTCTCAGGAAGCCCGAGCAGAAGCAGCCTCCTAGGTAGAAGCAGGCCTCTTTCTTTAGAAAACTCAGCAAGACTCACAAGACTTGTTTCTTGAATGAACTAATAGCTAATCATTTCTGTACTTATTACATAATGAACTGCAGGTGTATAGCTGCATACAACTGCCTGCAACTGTGTTCAGTAGTGTGTGTATACACCCAGTAGCCTATCTATCTAAACACATTTACATATATTTATGCATTTATATAAAGGTACGTGTTTATCCATTTGGCATGTATACATATGCATATACAGTGTAATTCTGGAAGACTGTCATAATTTAATATTTATTAAATATCCAAATGTTCCTTCTGTGTGTATGGCTGTGACTGAGGACTTGGTTCTATTACACAATGTTCATGAGGATTCTCTGGAGAAATTTCTTACTGCTCAGGATCAAAAGAGTTGATCTTCTCTTGAGCAATTTTTTTTTTTTGTCTTGCATGTGACAGAGATTGAATTTTAGACAAGGCTTCCCTTTTGAACATGACTGCTAGAAATCCAGGAGACAAATCTTTGGTCCCACTTGTAGCAAGTGTTTTGGACTCCATGGGATGCATTAATAAAAAAATTCATTTCTGGCTCCATTTCATGTACTTTAATTTTCACTTTTCATTTCATTTCATACACTTCTTTTTGTGAGTTACACATCTTTGTAAGCTATCTTGAACTATTTGTTGTGTTTAGGATAAGGTGGCACATACATATGAGGCTTTAAGGTCCAGAACATTATGGCTGGGAAGGGACTTATTAATGTGACTAGAGTTAGGGCATGTGACACTGATAATGGGTATGTTATTAGGACAACCCCACAGCGATTACAGGGAGTCAGCCGGATCTCAGCCCAGGTCGTGGTTCTCTCTGTTGTATACTAGTTGTGTGATGGGAAGCATATTATTCTCTAACCCTTCGTTTTTTTCATCTTTAAAACAGTGACCTCTTGGTATTTGGGGGAGACGGCGTACATGAGGAACGTACAGAAAGCACTTAGCACAAGGCACTTAGTCAACATTAGCTATTGCTGTCATCACTATCTTTTCGGCAAGCAGGGGTAGGCAGCCATTTCTGACCAGATCTGCCGTCAGAAAGTCCTCCCCAGCCCTGACCCCCTCTCTGCCATATCCACAGACGCCAGGCAGCTGTGTCCCGCCTGACCTGCAGCGCACCTGCACACTCGCTGCCTCCCGCAGGGTGCCGAGCACGTATCTCCAGACCAGTCTTGTTAATTGCTACCAAGAAGACACCCAAAGGCACAGGCTAAGGCGGACCCACAACCGTGTATTCGTTCTTTACCCCACCCCCAACTCTACGCTCTTGATATATACCAGAGAGGCCTGCGAGGGGACGAGGGGTCTTCGGGAAACTGGACTGAAATTCTGGAAGGTGGGGGCGGGGGAGGGGGCGTTGCCCCGAGAGCCACCAGGTGAAGCCGGTTTCCCCCGGCTCCCAACCCCTCTCCTGGCGCTGGTTTGGTGATGTCGAGGGCACCTGGAGCCTCCCCGCCCTTCCAGCTCCGCTTCCGACTTCAGCCTCGGGCCGGGAGAAGCAGCCGCCAGGGGTAAAAGGCGAGATTGGAGGAAGGCGCAGGCGTCCGGGGACTACCGAGTAATGGGGGCAGTTTTCGGGGAAGAGCTGAACAGCGCCACACATTTCCTCGGCGATAACATCAGCGCTTGTCAGGTGGTTGGAGCGGGCGTGTGTGCGCGCGCGCGCCAAGGAGGAGGACGAGGGGCGCGCTCACACAAAGTTTGTGCCTGCGGGTTCGCCGCGGTCGGGCGTCCTGGGAGAGGAGGCCGGGGCGGAGGGGCCCGGCAGGGGGTGGTGGCGATGCGCCGCACCCCGCCGAGCCTGTCCCGCCGCGCTGGGTGAGGTGGCTCCTGGAGCGCGGCCGCGGCCATGGGCACCCTGGGCAAAGCGAGAGAAGCTCCGCGGTGAGTAGGGGCGCCCGTTTCCTTTCTTGGGGCGGGGGCCACAGCGCGCGCGGCCCCAGGACCTCGCCGGGATGGGAAGTGGGGTGGGGGCCAGCACGGCGCTGCCTCCTCCGGGAAGTTGCGGGCCCGGGGTGCGGACGGCGGCAGCCGGTCGGGGTCTCGGCCGAAGTCGGGGGAGACGGGCTCGAGGGACGGACGAACCCGGAGCGCCCTGCGCGTCTCGCCCGATGAACTGGGGAGGGAGCCGGGTTGTGCGGACGCGCGGCCAGAGTTGGCCCGGCGAGCCCCGGAATCGCGCTTAGCGACCTGGTCCCCCGGCGCCGGGCCCCTGAAACTCCCACTCACGGGCTTTACGCGCCCCCTGCATCTGCCGCAGCTCCTGCAGCGCCACCTGGCGGCCCGTCCTGCCCTGCGAACGTGGGGCCGGACCCAGAAGGCCCACTAACTGCCTTTGCCAGGAGTGCACAGGGGTCAGTGAGCCACATAACCACCTGGGTGGAAACCTGCACTCCCCTCCACCCACCGTGATCCTAGAGACATGTTTTAGGAGTGTCTTGGGGGTGACAGAAGATGAAGGAAAAGTGACCGTGAGTGAAAAAGCTATTGGCAGGAGAAGGAGGCCTGGAGGGGCCGGGCAACTTTGAGTTTGTCCCCCAAAGGGCCAGAACTAGACAACTGCCTGGCGACAGCCTGGGCTCAGCATAGGGCCGGGAAAGCTGTGCTCTTTCCACCTCCATCCATGCAGACTCTGTTGCTCCTGGCCGTGCCCAGTCGAGGCAGGAAGTGTTGCCCTGCTGGACCTTACGAATCTAAAAGTTCTTGGTCCTTTATGCCCTCCCCCACCCCGTCCTGCACCGTGAAGGTCCAGCGCTTTGCCTTGCACCGGACTGAGAGGAGGAGCTTAAGTACATTCAACTGAGTCTGTATTATGGGAATGGGGAGAGGACAGGACTGGAAGAAATCCTCACTAGAAGTCAATCAAAGCCATCTTCCACTGCAAAGAAAGTTGTGGAAGCTTCCGTTCGTTCTCCTTGTCCATTTCATCCCTTACTCTTCTGGGCTGAATTTCATGAAAAGTTCAACCCGAAATTGTGACCCCCACTGAGATACCTGAGGCTGGAATGGATTGCACCTGAACCACTTCAGAGTTTTGACAGTCTCCTTCGGCAAACTGGATGGGGCCTTAGCCAGTTTTAGCCTCAGGAAACACTTTCAAGTTGTTTCTCTAGGGCGCTTTTTTTTTCTTTCTTTTTTTTTCTTAATACTTGAGGGAGCTGGTGAGGAGACATTTGCCTACTTTCCTTTAAAAATACATATGCCTTTGCAGACTTAGAGGCGAATGCATTCTATGTCTAAAATAAAGCATTTTATAAATCCTTATCTATAGCCATTTCACCAGAAGAGAACACTTTGAAGGTTTGTCACGTAGCAGTCAGTCAAGAGACTTTCACAGCAAAATTGCCCAGTTTCCTAGTTTATGGTGCACATAACCCCCATCTTCCGGACCTCTCAGGATGCCATTTGGGTTTTAGCAGTTTCTCTTCTCCCTGGTTTCTCCTGCCCAAGCCCTCTGAGTCTCAGCGGCCTCCCCCCGACTGCATCTCACCCTCCCTTTCCCGTCCCCTAAATACTCCCTTCAAGTTCATTCTTTCTGCTTGTATTGTACCAGTCCCTCCTAGTTCTGATAAAAAGCATCTACCTCTGAGAATCACCTCCTGCACCAAAGTAGTTTCCCCTACAGGTGACACTAGGAAACATTGCCAGAATTAGAGCCAGGGCAGTTTTTGGAGTCCTGAATTGTTGATGCTACCAACTGAGGGAGAAAATAGAATTTTTCCTGGACTGGCCAGATGAGAGACAGAGGTAGACACCCACATCCCGGCCCCAGTGGGAAGAGCTGTGTGTGGAGACAGCCTCCAGTTGCCGTGGCCTCTTCTCTTGGGGCTAAGGAGAAGTAATATGGAAGGCCTAAGAGAAAAAGAGGCTTCTAACAAGAAGGACTTTGTTTTCATCTTTCCCAAGTCTGCCTTGGGTAGAGGTCTTAATGGTGAAGAGGCAGCAGCTAAGGCCAAAAGCTGACTTATCCCAACACTGCACAACAAGTGCCAGGTTTAGAGAGACATCACTGCTTCTGCGGAGGGAAGGGAGCATGGCATGGACACAGGAGGCTTGCTTCTGCCTGGCTCTGCACTGGTGCCCAGTCACATTGCCCTTCCGAGCCCAGACCCCCACATGTATGGGTGAAGGGCTTGGAGAATGACCATGGAGGGGCCATCCAGCTCTGGGGTCTGAGGACTCTGGGGGACCTGAAAAAGAAGTAGGACCCAAGATTCAGCCTTTATGTTATCAGCTATGCTTTTGGAGGTTTTTACTTTCGTCTTAAGTTGAATTGAACCTTTCAGTTCCTCTTGCTAATTCTGATGTAGTGAAAGGTGCATAGTCCCAGGCACAGTAAATATTTATTAAACCAAACCAGAGAGGTGCCAAGTACAAATCCCAGATCAAGTACCTATGAGTTCTACAACCTTGTCTATGTCATTCAGCCTCTTTTAGACTCAGTTTCAGCATCGTGATATGGAGGTAACATCCCTCTGGGCTGTAAGCTTTGAAGACCATGTAAATCCCCAGCCCAGAGCCTGCCATATCAAAGGTACTCAGTTCAGAGTGGCCATTATTTTCTTTCATTTTCAGATGCTGATCTGATCTTGGGGCTATCACAGGGCCTGGGTAAAAATCAGTAATGACCAGAAACTTGATCAAGTCTTGTAACACCAACCTGATCTTTCAAAAATCACTGCCTTGGGTTAGCAGATTCCCAAGCGCCAGTTTCTGATTGGATTTCACTGAGCCTATCCTAGGTTGGAACAGGTGGCAGCAGCCAATGCCAGACCAGCATTCTGGAGCTCCTTTGAAAGGGAACTCGAAGGTCAGTGTGTTCCCTTCACGAGTCTGGCTTTGTACTGAGTGGTCCCACTGTCTTTTTAACAGGGTGGTTTCCCAAAATCCATGTGTGCCCCAGCATTTTATTTTGATCTGAGTACTTCTTCAGTCCCTTCTGGGTGAGGTTACATCTTATCAAGAAGCTTTCCTCAACACTCCACCTAGAACTGGTTTTCCCTCCTCTGAGAACATCACACTTTTTGCCCTTGACACTCACAGGACAGTTATTTAAGATTTATAGAGTTATCTTTTCTTGGTCTGGTTCTGATTCTCCAACTAGATTTTTGTATTAAGGAACTTCCAGATCACCTTCATACTACAACAACTAACACATAATGAGTATGTTTCACAGTTTGCAAAGTACCTTCACAGACTATCTCACTGGTCCTCTCTGGCCTATCACACATGTGTTGCTCATAGGCTAAGTACTTATTGATTAATTAATGCCATCATGTGTTTATCAAATATATAGTGCTTAGTTAAAGTTATGGATCTCCGATATATTTCTTTTCTTCATCTCCTCTTTGGTAATAAACATGAAATAACCAAAACCACAGTAAGGAGAGGAGAATATACTCAGAGGAGTTATCAGCAACAACACGTATCACTAGTAAACCTTCAAAGATGATAGATATGTATGTTATGTTTATTTTTTTAATGGAAGGAAAAATAAAATGCTTAATTAACCTACTGATATCATTTTGCAAACAACTTGACTTATACTGTTGAGGTCATGACCAAAGATAAAGCTAAGTGAAAGTGGAGGAAGGTGACCTCTTGGGCTCTAAAGCCACTTCCAGATTCAGACTTGTCTTTTTGTATTCACTTCTGGAATAAAGCTCTCATAATCAGTAAGGACTTGATAGAATAATGTTTAATGATAAAAATGACTCAGAATGATTATCAGTAATGAAAAACAGAATCTTAGAACCAACCAAGATTTGTGAAAAAGGGCTAGATTAACATCTACACACCACCGCCATAACCCTCACCCCCTGCACACGGGTCCTCGGTCTTTGCCTTCTCCCCCAAAATCCTTAAAGATGTTTCTGAGGCCACCTGACTTTCTACAGTAACTCTGATGTTGCTCAAGATGAATGAATTTAGCTGAAGATGAGACCAAACTTAAATAATTCTTAAGACCCAAGTCAGTGGTCTCAGGGCTAAAATAAAAATGTATTGCTAGGAGCTAAAAACTGCCAAGAATAGTCTTGCGTCTGCCTCTTCCTTTCAGGAGCTGGAGAAAGCAGGCCAAAGCAATCCTAACCCCAGGCTGAGGAGCCCTGTTTGCAACCTGAAGTCTCACCTTGCTATTAGTGTGAGAGATGTCTCTTTAACAGCTAACCAGTCCGTTTGGTGCCTTTACCAAGTGGGAGGGGTATGTCTTATCAGCCCAACTCCTGGGATTAATTGTCGTATCTCTACTCCTTTCCTCTTCAATCTGCCTGCAGAGCGCAGAGCTGTCAGTGTGGTCGTCCTCTGGCTGCTCTACTCTCCCTGCCTTTTCTCTTTCCCCAGGAAAGCTTCTCATGGCTGCAGAGCAGCCCCGAAAGCAAGACTAGAGGGGAAGCCCTCCAGCAGCCCCCTCCCCTCCCCTCCCCGCCTGGCCCAGATCACCCAGTTCCGAATGATGGTGTCTCTGGGACATTTAGCCAAAGGAGCCAGCCTGGACGATCTCATCGACAGCTGTGTTCAATCTTTCGGTGAGTTGGCGAACTGCCCACATGCATAAAAATCGCTCTCTTACTTTGTTCTTCCTTAAAAAGTGCGTTATAGAATAGCAACCTAGATTGCATTTGGGGTTTAAAAATAGCTCTTGAGCCTTTGAAATGTTGGAGACTGTGCAGTGCCTATGGCACATGACTATGTGGGTGTAATAGGTCGTGATGAGAAGCGCGATTTAAAGCAAGAAAAGTTACTGAGGAGAGTTTGCATTTCCAATTTTCTCACGATGGAGGTTTTTCTTGTGATGAAAAATATGATAAAATGCAGTGGTACATCTGGTGCTTTTCTGTCCTTGTGTTCTTGGGGCACACGAAGACTAGGTTACGTGAGCAAACGCTGTTATCAAATAGAAATTCGAAAGCCTTTGGATCATTTGGACAATAAAGTCTTAAGAATTCCCCTCACAATCTTGAGGGTGGTTGTGGAGCAATAGGAAAGGACCAGGCAAAGCCAGATGTCTGTGCCTGAAAGGTACTGGCAAATGAGCAGTGTGATTGAGGATTGAGGATCTATAAAATGAGCAGACAGACACAGGGGCAGGGAGTTATCTAGGCGTGCACTCTGTCATCACCCGTACTCACAGTGAGGGATGAGCAACTTAGCGCAGCTGACAAGCAATTATCAACAGATGCCCTTTTTTTTTTAATTTTGCAGGCACTGTCTTTCTTTTGATTGTTGTATGTGAAGTAGTGATTGAAAAGTACTAAGTGTTTGTTCCCGTTCCCAAAAAGAAATGATGGAAGATTCATAGAGTTTCAATATCACCGGTCCCCCTCCTTGCCCCTTTAGAAACCCCTCCATCTCCCACCGGGAAGCAGATGAGCATGTGTGTCTCAGCACAGAAGCACCACCAGCCGGCCCTGCCCTGGTGCCTCCCAGGGAGTATAGGGGAGGCTTGATCAGATCCCAGGTAGCACAACATGCCGGGCTGTTAGAGCTCAGAGCTAGGGATTATTCATTGGCTGGACCTGTTTAGTGCTCAGTCAAACCTTATTTGTAGAATTCAGAAAAAATTGACATTTTGGAGATTCTCATTTAGTACAATTTAGCAAAACATTGAATAGTTTTTGGGGGGGATATACGTATATGTATAGCTGATTCACTTCGTTATACAGCAGAAGTTAACACACCACTGTAAAACAATTATACTCCAGTAAAGACGTTAAAAAAAAAGAATAGTTTTGGTGATTCCACCATTTGGTTTAAAGCAGCGGTTCTCAAATGTTCTGCGAAATCACACAGAGGTTTTTTGTAAAACAGATTGCTGGGTCCCACCCACAGGCCGCCGCTCTAGCAGGTCTGGGGTAGGGCCCGAGAATTTACATTTCTGTCATTTTCCCGGGTGATGCTGCTGCAGCTGACCCGAGAACCTCACTTTGAGAATCACTGCTTTCTTGTTTATTATCGATTTTTTTTAACTTGGAAAAGAGGGAGTATTTTTACTAGTTTAGCATTAAATTTTAATTAAATTTCTATTTAGTTACACTTTAGTCTTTCAGCTGGGATGAATTTGGGAGCAGAATGAACGGTTTTCTATTTCAAAATAATCTCTGTGGAAAATATCCATGCAAGGAGATAAGCTAGAAGATGGGGGGATAGGGGGAAGCATGGCTGTAACGAGCCATTATTCATTATGCACTTTACTTTCACCTGGTTCCCGACTTGATAAGCTGCAAAGTTCCTCATACAGTCGTGATAGTCTTATTTACTGGTCTTTAGCAGGGCACTGTGACTATTTCATGAATAAGCATTTTTATTCTCTTTCCATTTCACTGTTGAGAAAACAAGGTCCAACAATAGTTTTATCATGCCATCTTTCTTCCTCCCCTGCCAGTCATTTAGCTGCCCGCTCAGTTCAAGGCTGTTGCCCTAACCTTCAAATCATCATGACCTCAACCTGAAAAATACATGACCGATTCTGAGGTCCTGCAAAATAAAAAATGACCAAGCCTGACCCACTCCCCTCAGTGAATCCTAGCAGGGCTAAAGATACTGTTTCCTGAATGATGTTGAACTGAAAAGTACCTTAAAATCCCAAAGCTATTTTTAAAAAAAGCCATTGAGTCTAACAGTCTTTTATCCATTATCATGAAGTCTCAGTAGCCCCTAATTAAGCCCCTAATTGCATCTGACACTCGGCTGGGCATTGCATGAGAGAATTACAGTGACCGAACCTCTATTCCATTATTCAAGCTTAGAATACCTGAGGAATGCACCGTTCGGGGAAAGAAAAAATGTACCAAAGCCAGGGCAATGTTAAGGTAAGGTGTGCAGGAAGAATAAATTCTTTAAACCATGTAGACTCTGAGCGAGTTCACACCAAAGGTGAGGGCGTAGACTAGGGAGAGCAGCCGCGGTCTGTTGGAACCCCTCTCGTGCAGGGCGTGGGAATGCTGCCAGAAGGCAGCAAGGAGCCGTCAGAGGCAAGGGTTTGCACCTGAGGTCCTGCAGGGTTTCCTGCCACAGAATTTACATGAAAGAGGCAAAAAAGAAAAGACACCCTATGTCTGGAGGGAATGGGAGATGACCCTTTTGTCTGCGAATTGTCTGCGAATCAGTGGACGTGCCTAGTGGGGCAGGGGTGTGGAGCTAGAGCTGGGGGCCGGGGAGCCAAAGCTGGATCGTGACAGGCAGCTATCCACGGTAGGACATTGCTTGTGCTTCTGGAGGTTTCCTCAGACGTGATCCGAGAACAGTAACGCGAGGCTGATGCTTCTCTTGAAACTTACCTTACTGGTTATTTTCTCTGGTTCGTAAAGAAGAGTTTTTGCTTTAGAGTAAAACAATCGAGCTTAGTTTTTTGCTCATGAGTTTAGAAGTCTTCTCATTTGAATACCCATGGAAAGCGAGGGAAATAGCACTACCAAAGTGTGGGGAAAGTTTTTTTTATCAGGGGGAGTGGTGCGGGGGGGTCATCTCTCCCTTCAGATTCAGGTTTCAGCCACTCCTCCCAACAACTTGAAAAAAAAAAGGGAGGAAATAAAACCTCTTTTGAACACAAAGACTGACTAATTAGTCCATCTACTTTTTACTACTGTCTCAACCTCACCTTGATGCAGATGCCTTGAAGAGGTTTGAACTGGCTACAGCTGTGCTGGCCAGTATGGCAGCCACTACCCACCTGTGGCTATTTATGTAGACATTTTGCTTAATTAAAATTAAATCAAATGTAAAATTTAGTTCCTAAGCTTCACCAGCCATAGTTCAAGTGCTCAATAGCCACAAGTGGTACCTGCTGCTGGGCAGAGTAAGTAGAAAATACTCCCTTCTTTACAGAAAGTCCATGGGCTAGACTGGCCTGGGTAGATGGTTGACCGGAAGGGCAAAAGCAGTGTGGGATTTGCATTTTTCCAGCAGCTCCAGCTAACAGTCTGACTACTGTCTAAGGCATCCTGGGCATTTGGCAGTCTTTACCGATGGCTCTCTCTTTAGTATTATTAACCATTCATTTCAGAGGAAGGACTTATTACAAGGCTGTTAGGCATGGGTGGCCGGCACGTACAAATTAAGGCCTGTAGCAAGCCTCCCGACGCCACATACAAGGTTACAGATCTCTGATTAGAAATTCAGAGCCTTGAGTCATAGTGTGTTGCTTTCACCATGAAACAACCCACTCGCACCTTCTGTTTTAATCAGAGGTCATGCTTTACATTGTCACCATATCATTGCTCATTAATCCACTCTTCCACTGAGCATAATGTGGCAAATCATCACAACACGGGTACGTTGATGTCAAATGTGTGTGAATCACACCATCTGTTTCAGAGGTAGGAAAGACCTATGAGATCATCCGGGCTTTTTATAACGTGTTCACTTTGTAAGAGGGCTGCCAGCTTCGAGGGCCGAATGGAAGGCTTCAGATGTCCCAATTCTGGCCCCCTCTGAATGCAAGACAACTTCTGACAGCCTCAGAAAGTAAACGGCAGACATGTCCCAGCAAGGGACCCTCAGCACGCAGCTCTCCTGCTCCCAGGTCGAGTGTGGGAAGAAACTCCACATCTTTGTCTTACCCGACAGCGAGAAAGGAAACACAGCTTAGCTAGTGTCTTATTTATGGCGTGTTGTTTATTTCTTCCTTGGAGGGCTATATGTATCCATTTTCTTTGAAACTCAAAACAACTCTGAAATAGGGCAGGTATTAGTGTCTCTATGGACAGAGGAGACGATAAGTGGAGCCTGTGAGAACTGAAACAACTTGCCTCATGCCCCCAGCCCCCCAGCTCAGTCTAAAGAGAAAACACGCTCCCAGAAGCCTCTGGAAAGCTGAGCTGGGCCATGCTTAGGTCCTTCTCCTAGGGCAAGCTCCCTTCACTCGGGGGGACCTGCATGCCCCACAGGACAAGTCTGCACTCTGTGCCCACAGTCTGCAGGCCTGGTGTCTCCCAGATTAGAAATTAAACTCCATTCAATGTAGGAAACATTTATTGGCCCCCATCTGTATACCAGATATCTGCTTGGAATTCTCAAACAAATTCTGAATTAATTTAAATTAGTGTGTGCATTGTATCTCCCAAACGAAAGAAACCTCCAGACTAATAGGTATATTTCCCGTACCACTAATAGATGTATTTCCTGCAGTTGGATGTTAAAAGCATTGTATAGACCTCAGCTTATTAAGGGTAAAACACTACATCTATTTTTAAAGTTAGATCCAAAAAAGGCAAACACACACTCGTTGGGACTGTTGTTCCCTCCGTGGCAGAGGGAAGATTCAGTGTTCCTCACCCCTCTGCAACTTAGTCTGTGCACCAAAGCCGAGTGCCCAGAGGCAACGAAAGCACAAGACCAGGCGCCAAGGGCCATGATGTTGAAGGGCGGTCGGACCCAGGAACCAGCAACTCCAAGGAACAAAGCCAAGTGTAGGGACAGGAAAGCTGGCCATTGTGAAGACAGGCTCTTTGGGAAGAAGACCACAGCTGTCCCAGCAGCCTCCTCAGTGGCATCTCCCATCTCTGGGAGTCACGGTTGCAAGATATCA